TCTCTCTCTCACACACACACACACACACACACACACACACACACACACACACACACAAACAAACACAGACACATGCCCACCCACTCTGTGTTTGTGCTCTTGTGTGTGCTTGCATGCTTACGTGTGTGCGTGGGTTGCCATCTTCGCTATGCACAACTCCACGAAAAGAGCATGACTGAGCCAGACTGTTTCTTCGGACCTTCACTGACTCATCAGGAGGTTGAACCCCAACAGTCTGCCCACGATGCATTTGCACACTTGCATGTGTGTGTGTGTGTGTGTGTGTGTGTTTGTGCGTTCTTGCACCCGTGCGATGTCATATTTGCTATACAAGTCAACAAAACGAAGGCCCTCAACCCAACGGGCCGTTGCACTCGTCTACAGCGATGGCGCCGCCCTGCAACGGGCGAATGACCAACAGGTACCGGGCATTTCTTTCCTTACGGGCCCGCACAGGCCCACTTCTCAACGGGCACGACGATCCAGGCCGTCCGAGGTCCTACCGGCCCAATGGTTCAGATCACCTCGACATTAAGATCGCATGACAATCCAGGACCATCACGTTTTGTTAAAGGCATAAAGGGTAGGGGGTGAATTAGGCGCAAAGCGGTGAAAGTCGCCAGCTCAACTGGTGGAATGCCTTCAAAACCGGTTCACTGGAGTAATATAGAAACGTCAGACGGCCTGGATCATCGCGTGATCTTCGAGTCTTAAGATCACACTGCGAGGCACAAGGCCTTGGTAAGCCCTACTGGGCCCTCTTATCAGCAAGGCCGGCCGCCCTAAGTGAAGGCAGGCCCGACCTAGGCCTATTTTGGACTACCACGCAACTGGGGAAAATTCAGGCAGTTGCGCAGCGCCAGTTGGTTGAAAGCGCCCAGGCCCAGGCTGCCTTTATCAAATGTAACTGAGGCAGGCCCTGGGCCAGATACGCAACATGGACCGAACACAGGCCGCGAGCAGTTGGGCACGGGTAACCACCACAGGCCCTGTGTCTGAGGATCTGCCTCACGGGGCGTATCGGAAGCTTCTGGGCTGGGGCCCAGTGCAGCCTTGCCGCACGCAGCAGGCAGGCCACTTCCATTTAGGAAAGAGCCTGCCTCCAGATTCGGCATTCGGGCACTGGCTGCATGCTGCGCTAAACGCTGGCCAGCACTCACGCGCTCACAAGCGAGCAGGGAGAGCAGGCAGTCATAGCCGAGCTGCGCTGCGCTGAGCTGTATGGGGCGCATCGTGGCATCTGTGAGTGGGGGATCGGCATCTGTAAGTGGGGGATCGAGGTTGTGAGTGATACGAGAGACATATCTGGTGCTCATGGCCGAGACCTGCTCGTACTTCGGGGAGCTGTTGACGTGGCTAGATAGGATCTTCCATTTGTAGTCTGGGCACAGAGTGCCAGATAGGATTTTCGACATTGGTTCTTTGGTGATGATGATGAGACTATTCGAACATTGTCACTCATGAGTTTTTGCTGTGATCTTATTTGGTGGGACTCGTGTTGCAATTCTGCTTTTGGTTCAAGGTCACGACTATCTGGTCTCATGTGTATGATGCTGCTTGGGTTCTGAAGTTCGCTATCGCTCATTTTCCTTGCAACACGATGATCTGAACCATCGGATTAGTAGGACCACAGATGGCCTGGATCGTCATGCAATCTTAAAGCCTTAAGATCACGTGACAATCCGAACCGTCGGTACAACCGCAGATGGCCCGATGCCCGAATTCTCACATTAGTGATTGAATTACTGAGGCCAGCCAAACTTGAGAATATTCAAGGCTATCCCACTTTATCTTTTGAAAAAAGGGAAAAGAAAGGAAAATTCAGGGCCAAGCAGCCTAGCTCAGTTGGTTGAGCACGTAAGTGGTACACAGGAGGCTGTGGGTTCTATTCCCCATGGCATCCATTCGATTCCCCACGACCCCCTGTGTGGCATACTTCGGGTTCACCGACTGAGAATGTTGGCTTGTCCCTCCTGGCTGGTTGTGGAAATTGAGTCTGTCTTTCCAGCCCACACCATGTAGCTTGGGTGCTGCTCCCACACAGAACAGAGGCAATGGAGAGTACAGACCAAACCAGGTGTAAGGCTCGCTGCACGCAGCTGCGCAACCAACCTCTTCAGCTACGCAGCGCCAGTTGGTCACAAACTAGTACAGATCATACCTGGTCTGAAAAGCGGTTGTGTTGATCCTCGGGCCGGATTGCAATCTGATTGTACTCGGACTTGAGATCTATCTTATTCAAGTACCGGCACCCTTGCACTCGGTCCAACAAGTCATCGATGCGCGGTAGGGGCTTTGTGTTCTTCATAGTGATGGCATTGAGGCCCCTCTAATCAATGCACATCCTCAACGTTCCCCTCTTTTTTGGTACAAATAAGACAGGAGACCCGTAAGGGGAGACAATCGGCCAGATCCAACCCTTCTCTATGAGATCCTTGAGCTCTCGGCGAAGCTCATCAAGCTCCGCTGGAGACATCCGATAGATTCTACCCTTCGAAATACTAGACCTCGCAATAATCTCTATCGCATGGACGACCTCCCTCTCAACAACCCCTTTCGGCTCTTCGGATAGATCAGGCTAATTAGCGGCCACTCCTATCTCTGGAGGCATTTTCACTGGCTCACCCTCTGCAAAGACATACAAAGTACACACCCTCCTCCGGATTTTGCTTATATTAGTTATAGAACGCGGCCGCACACATGCACCCGTAGGACTCAATCAGACTACTAGCTTTATACTTGTGCAATTCGGCGGTCCTCCCTCCGGGCAGTGTGTGTTTGACCACTTTTTGGTCCCAGTCAAACTGGGGTTGTGCAACCGAAAGATAGTACATACCCTGCAAGATATCCATAGGGAGATCATCACTGACTAGGAACGAGATTCTATGCCTCAGTTCCCCTCCCGCGTATGGGAAACAACACAACATCTTTTAGGTAGTCATTAACTACCATGCGTCGTTTGTTGGCACACGTCGACTCCACAGGTCGACTGCGGCGCTGCACTTGCCCCTATAAGTGCAGCCTATCAACACAAGCGCGACTGATAAAGTTCCTTGTCAAACACATATCGTAGAAGGCCCTAGCCTTACGGCTGCCTATATCTACCTCGTCTACAAACAACTCACCCTTAGAAGATTTAGCCATTGTCGTCCAAGAAGCTAGCGGGTCTAATCTAAACCACTCCTCCTCTAGCTCCTCTACGGATTCGAACACATTCATCAAACAGAGTATCGATTGGTCTGAATGTGCTCACGGGACGATGTCAGAGTCAATAGCTTAGGCCATCTCTGGAGACGGTGAGCGTGTATCCACCATCTCGACCCTAGTAGGAACAGCTACAATTCCTACTGGCCCGACGTGTTTCCCGAAGCAGTGCCAGAAGTGTTGGCAACGTTGTTGTCCTGGGAAGCGGAGGAGATCTTTGCTTGCCCATCGTAGGCGGGATCTTTACGGTCCCGGCACTTGAACAGTTATGGCCATA